TCAAAATTTTCTAGAATTGTAACGATACAGAGTCAATTTCACCAAGTAAAGTAGTTGCTCTAGGGAGAAAGTCTGGAACAGAGGAGATACCCATTTTTTTACCCCATTTGTCAAGAGCTGATGAGTATGAATTTAATACTGATATTGTGAAACAAAAAAAATTTATAATCACTTATCCACAGATAAAAATTTGAAATGAACCTGGAAAGTTGTAATTAAACATTTCAAATTCTAGATTACTTTTAGATATCCAAATTAGCTCAAAGAGAAATACCAATACAAAGGACAAATCAGGAGAAAATACGACACACTATTTAAAATTCCAATATTAGTGAACACTTCAAACTTCAACACTATTAGTTTAAAAACTGTTAAAATTTTATTTTATTTTATTTGTTTATTTATTTATTTATTTATTGGGTCTTTTTGAGACAAGGTCTCCATGTGCAGTTCAGGCTGGCCTTGAGCACACTTTGTAGGTCAGCCGGGTCTCAAACTCGCAACGATCCCCCTGCCTCAGCCTCCCGAGTGTTGGGATTACAGGCATTCGCCATCACGCCCGGCTCCAAACTGTTAAAATTTTAAACCTGACACAAATAGTGGAAAATGGTTCTTTAGAAACTTATTTAGATTTGTAATTAAATCTCTAGCATTGTCTAATCTTATGTAATTAAAAGGAAGAATAATGAGTTATAGATCACCCTGTTCAGTGTTTGTTCAAGAATATTTACTAAATATTATTGTGAAATAAGTTTCAAAATTTTGGAAGATTAAGATCCTTCCTATCTAATTAACTGAATTCTTTAAGAAAACCACTGTTGATATAAGACTAAAAGATTGATTGAGAAATTTTTGATTAATGGAAACTTGAGCTTTTATTTTAGAAGATAGCATACAAGCCAAGATTGGGAGTGTTTTAAATCCAGCTTCTTGAGTATAATCTAATACTTTTGTGATAATAATTATTGCTACTTCTCAGCATTCTGAAATATAACACTTCCCTCCATTGTTAAACGAGATAGACTATTCTCCTAAAGAGTTTTCAAAAAAGACCGAGTGAAAATATTTTTTAAAATAACCAGAACAATAACTGAAAATGTACTGGACTTTTTTTTTTTTTTTTGCCAAGCAAGTATATTCAGAATGACATTGCCTTAAGAGCACCAGAAAACCTACACGACTGGGTCAATATGTTTTAAATGGATAATGCCAGAGAGCAAAAATCTACTGGAAATCTGCCAATACAGCTTTCCCCAGAGTCATCCTGATTAGAGTTTATGCCACTGACTGCCATTAAAATGCTAAAACGTCAGACCCTGATGAGCCTGAAAAGCCTTTTCTAGGAGAAATGCACAGATGCAGGGAAAGCAGTAGACATAGTCAAACTTCCCTGAGCAACAGCTCTGTAGCTTCCGGCAGAAAAAAAGCACAGCCTATGAATTCCGCAGCTGTTTATGCTTTCAGCACTCTGGAAGACGGTACTGATGCACTAAGGGCTCGGTCTACACACATCTATATTTAGAACTACAGAAAGCAAAGCTATACCTAGAAGAGGTCACTACTTCTCAGGGTTATCTGGAATCCACCGTACAGAGAAATTTAATGATTCAAACAAACACGCACATTATCTACATTAACGATGTACCACCCTGCCTAGCTATCTTAGTCAAATAGGAAACATTTTTTCCTTAGATAATAATTGAATTCAAAATATGGATAAATCAATCATTTTCATTGCCTCCAATAAATACATTTAAAAATATCATTGGTCATGATTTTTTTTTTAAATTAAAAGAAAACAGAGCCTTCTGTGATATGCATTTGGTGTTGTTACAGTAATGTTCAGTTTTACATGAGGCATAAAAATAAATGTTTTCAACTAAATACTGCTGTAAAATTATCATATAATCTATTAAGGATGTAAATGTGAAGCCCTACACTTTCAGGACACCGTGTATAAAGCATACAGCTATAGGCACACAAACATGCACACGCACACACAGGTACACACAGAACCAGGAAGGGCACTAGTTTGAGCAAGGGAAGTGCTTGAGGATACCACGTGGTGGTGAGCACTGGACTACAGAGGCACTGGCTATGAAAGGAGTGAGGCTTTATTATCCTAGAGGGTTGGCACTGAACACAGGGGCAGCTCTTACAGGGGAAGGAAAGGAGAGCACTTATTATGTTAATTTTATTCCACAGAAAACAATATTAAGATGGTATATAAGAACTGACAATCAAGACAGTGTCATAAATCTAGTAGAAATATTTCCAAGTGTTTTATTATAGGCCTATGATTGAGGAATAAATAAAGCAAGGCTAGAAATCCTAAATGAATTATGGGTGTGTGTTCCACAAAAACTGGACTCCGGAAACAGGATCTGTGTTCATGGCAAAGCCTGAATTGGCAATGTGGCAAACCTTTGAGAAAATAAATAGAATAATTAATAAAAATTAAAACATTCTATCCCATGCACATTGTTCTTAATGATTTTCAGGTAAATAAATTTTATAAATTGCAAAATTACGAGTTCTGAAGATCAGAAATCTTTAGTGGAAGTCTTAAGGATTGCTCAATTCAAATGTAATTTCAGGTTCACTTCAGTTTTCTCTCTTGAATGAATGTGGATTATGTTTATTTTTAAATTAGACACTTGAACTTTTAAAAATAGTACATGCCATTCATACTGCCATCCTAATCTGTAGTATTTGCTCACTGGCATGGTGTTATATTACCCAGTGAGGCTATGAGATTTTATGTATAAATTATTAAGGTAACTGCCAAATGGTATCAGGGAGTTATTGTTAGACTTCTCTTAAGTTTCCTTCCCTCCCTCCTTCCCTCCCTCCCTCCCTTCCTTTTTATCTTGGGGCTTGAACCCATGGAACACTGAACCATATCTTCACCCATTTTTGTTGTTGTTGTTTTATCATTTTTTCTGTTGTTTCATTTTTATTTTTTAAAATTAACTTTATTGGTCCATTTTAGCTATACATAATGATCACATTCACCACAGGGAATTTGTACGTGTGCATGACATATCTTGATTTCTCTTTCTTTTCTATCCCCCTCTCCTCCCTTCAACCTTTCCTCCCCTCTGTATATACAGAAGTGTTGTTTTCATTGTTTCCCTTCTCTTCTTTTTAGAATATTTTCCCTGCCTTACTCTCCCCATGCCCCATCCCATGTTTCCCTCCACATTTGAACATTTGAAGAAAATGTTTCCCCATGTCTACTATACATTTTGGTCCTTATTTACCCTTTTGTTTCTCACACCAGAGGAACAATATAGCGTTTGTTTTGTATTGTTTTGTTTTGTTTTGTTAGGACAGGATTCTGCTAAATTGCCCAGATTGGTCTTGAACTTGTGATCATCCTGCCTCAGCTTCCCAGAGTGCTTGGATTAAAGGTGTGGACTATATGCCAGGTTTACAGTTTTCATTTTGAAAGAAAAATTGACTATTCAATTTCTTTCAGGAGTATACTATGCTAAAGCAATCCTATCATTCCCATCCTGAAGTCTCAATATATGTATCCTAACTAGATAGCAACATTTAAAAGCAGTATTGACTGAAAGGGTTGCAGTTATAAAAGATTCCTGAAGACCCAATGATTTACTCATAACTGTTATTCTCGATTCACCAGTTATCTCCTGCATTAGCTATCTGGTAGCTCTCCTTGCGATTTCATCAATGCCATTATGATATTTGTAATAATATGCTCTCAGTTATGTATTTATTCACACCCTGGTAAACTGGCATTTTAAAAGGAAGTGAAAACAAGCAAAAGGAGCCTTAATATATAGCATTTCCCTATTTCCACATGGTAAATACTTCCACTGTGGCCGACTGATGCTATCCACATGATGTCACTGACTTTTCAGTTGCCCAGGATGTGCACAGCATATTTCATAAGCTGGGCAAGTTGCTTCTACAACAAAACTGTGATGAACAAATGCCGCCTGTCATCTGTATTTATTTTCAAAGTGTAACGAAATATCCAAAGACTTTTTGGTAGGTCCCAACATTTTGATATTAGAAAATGACAGTGAATCATTTTTAACATAATGAAATGCTTTCAGCAACAACAGGCAGAATTTAAACTATGAAATGACAGAAAAATACTTTTACAAATAAGTATCTCATGTAGAATACAACTGAAAGTTTACATCTCCTTTCTGAAAAGCAATGTTCAATGCCAAGGATCATTGCTTGTAGCTCACCAGCTATCCAGAGAATGAATCTGGAGGATGGGAATGGCTCAAGTATTTGACTGATAATTGAAAACTGTCATTATGTATTTTGAGAATCCAGCTATAATACTACATTGAACAAAAATGATAAAATATATTGTCTTGGACCACTGGCCACATCTATAAAGATCATTATTTTAAAATGCTTATAATGTAACACGGTGAATAGTGTCTAAGAGTAGACAGTACTGAGGACTGGGGTTGACAAACTTTTTCTCTAAATGGTCAAAGAATAACTTTTTTAAACACTGTAGACTAATGGTATCTCTCCTGCATGTAGTTCTGGGATCCTCACAGAAATCCCCCATGCTGCATATGTAAATTCGTGGTCATGGCTGTGTTCTAAAGGACGCTGTTTTCAAAAACAGCTGGCAGAGGCGACCTGACTTTAGCTCCCTGAATCTTGAAGTTTTGTAAGTCTGATTATAGTACATTTTGTATTTATGAAACATTACTCAGGTAAATCTAACAAGCTTTTTAGTAAAATCGCCCCAGTCTGTAAAAACTCTTGACTAAGTACTGATTTTGCAAACAACATATTCCTGAAGTTCACCAATTACCAAAAGGACAATGCAATTTAAAAGAAAATGCACGTTTGTGATACACCTTTTCTTAACGTGGCTATACCAAAATTCCACAACTAGCCATTAGTGTAGAAGGTAACCTATGCAGTAAAGGAAGAGAACATTTAGATATTAAATGAATATATTCACTGTGGTTTATTTTGAAGTTGCTTACTCTTACCTTCCACAAGCTTCCCGGTCTGTTCTGCACTTCCCCCAGGAAGAATCTTGGCGATATAGGCTCCAATCTCTCCACTGTGTCCAGGGATTTCTTTACCACCCACAATCCTAATTCCTAGTCCATTACCTGTATTGAAAAAGTAGCAAGTCATTAAGAATAAGAGAATTGTTGTGAGAGTTGTACGAAACACAAAAAGTAGATCTGGCACCTAGGAGTTAGGTACAATATTAATTTGGAACTGGACATAGGTAACAAAAGCACATTATTCTAATTTCACTTAGAGGTAACATGAAATAAAGCCTTCTGAGAGCATAGCACAATCTACAATTATTAAATTGCATTAACAAACACATTTTTAAATTTATCCATATTCAATCATATACTATTGCATTGCCAATTCTTAACCAAATGTATTATCAAAATTTTATAAAAGGATATTCACAGAGTAAGAAAATATTATCACGATCTAAACACTAGAATGATTGCAGGGCTTATGTGAAACCATGATCATAATGTCAGGATTGCTATTGACTTTTCAACCTTAACTCATCAGTGAATATTGTCTGTAGCACAACACAATAGTTCTTGATTAATATACAACTCAGTAAACTGTTCCTCACTCCACAGATTTTTCTATAATTATTCATATGGAAAGAAGACAGAATGATTATTATGAGAAATCTAATTGACATAGATTTGAACTGTTTATATTTTAAGATCAAATGTTGTTTTAGTGCCAGATATATTTTTGCTATCAAGAGTATTTTAACTTGACAAGTTCTAAAGGAAAGCAGAGCTCTTCATCTTTCTTGAAGGTACCATAAACTACTGCTTTAAGTTGAAATTCCTTGAAATTTATTCCAGCCATTGAAGTAGCATTTTCAAACTCTTTCAAAATCTCCAAATTTTAACAACTATTGCATTTCTAAATCCTGTTCTCCCACTTTACTTTTTAAAATCAATTCTAGAGCCAACATCAGCCCAGCTTAAACATTCAAATGCTGTTGAACCTTTCTGTCACGTGTAAAGTCAGGACTTGCTCTGGTAAAATAAAATCTGGTTAATGTGAAATCCCAAAGGAATTTCGTCCTCCTCCTCCTTGCCTCACCTTTCTGTCTTGTTTTTCCCCATCCTTCCCTCTCCTTCCTTACTCCTTGGGCTCCTCTTTCTGTTTTTAGAACTGATTAAGTATTTCAAAGATTTTGCCTAAAAAAACCACAAAACAATCGAAATAAAACAAACTGACTGTCCGTTTTGAAATGCCAGGCTGCTAGGAGTGCAGTTAGACAGGGGCCACTCTCAGAGGCCTCGGTGCGGAGCCTCCTCACACGTTTCTAGGTCCAACACCACTGTTTTCAGCAGAAATCAATCTGTGATACACATTTACTGTAACTGTGTGCATGCTAATAATCTACTATTAGGTGAGTCAGGCCTGAACTCAGTCTGAGTAAAGACAGCTGAGTTCTTCGATGCTAGACTTTAAGGAATCAGCAGTTCTGATCGCTGGTCACTGCCTTCTGCTTCTGCAGACGAAACGCTTCGTTCCTCACGCGCCGCGCTCTGCCCGGCTCTGGGCTTCGCAGCAGACAAAGCAGGCGCGTGCGAACTGACAGCTGCTGTGGAGGAACAGAGTGCTTTCCTTAAAAAATGCAGAGTATGCGGGGAATAGAAAGTCTGAAGAAAAGAGTTCAGTGATAAAAGTAACAAAATCACTAATAACAAGTATTATTTCTACTAACTTTAGAATTATAATTTAAATCCTTAGTCTTTCTAAATCTCTAAGTATAAGCATTTGATCAGTAGGGTATGGTATTAGCTAAGTAAAATCAAGTTTAAAACATGCTATGCGAAAAGGAAATGTGGGCCTATAGGAAAGATATTTACATTTTGATTTAGTTTTCCGTTTGAATCTACCTTAATTTTACCTATTTATTAATTTGTCACATTAAAGACTTTTATTTTAGTCTATATCAAAGAATCTTTGCATTTTAACCATTAAAGTAATACATGAAAATAGTACATGGTTATAAGTAAAGCATTAAATTTGGACACAAAGTATTGTTTAGTTTTAGTAATAGTATAGGCTACATCCAAGCATCAAGGAAAAGCAAGTTTACATTAGTAAATATGCTACATTTTATAAGCACTGGCCTTTTTTTTTTTTGTCCTGGTACCGGGAATTGAACTCATGACTTTGTGCTTGTCAGGCAGGCACTGTGCCGCTGAGCTAAATCCCCAGCCCCAACAGTGGCCTTTAAGTCAATTTATTATTCATAATACAGTTATCACATAAGGCAAATATATTGCACAATTTAGTACCTTTAGTTGGACAAAAGAAAATAAAGATTATAAATTTTAATGCTTATAAAGTTCCAAGGATAATGGAAGTCCCCAAAGGATAATTTGATTAAATCTACTCTTATGTAGCTCAAATGGTAATTATATTCAGAAGGCTATAAAAAGTTTACTTTTATATTACCTTACTAATATAATTTTTCAAATTAATTTTTTAAAATTATCAATATGTATAGTTAGGAAAATAAAGCAAATTATATTAAAAATCCACAGTAATTTCCTTATGAAATTTAAAAATTTTTCATTAATATTGGACATGAAGAGCTAAAGAATATTTCACTATTTTTCCTTAATTTCATTTTTTTTCTCATTACAAGACAAAGCTTCTGTGGAACACCACAATGCAAGTCAATCACCTCAGCATCAGTTCATACTTTGCTCTTCCCAGGAGCATCACACAGCAAGCCCACACCCCTGCCAAGGGTGTTGAACTTTAAAACTGAACAAATGATACACACAGCCATTCCCGTCAGCTTTCTGTACCCAGTTAGTGCTGTTCAGCGCCTTCTCCCTCTTTCAGATATGCACTAACATACACGAAAAACACTTTTACTCTCTGAAAGATTTGAATGGAACATTTCATCTCCTAGTTTTATGAACTTAAATTTATAGTTGTTGAATGTAATGTTAAGATAGTACATGGGATTCGAAACTGTAGTAAAGAACCTCCATTCTCCCACCATTACTGGATGAGGTGATTTTAGGTTTTATGGCCGCTTGACTGGAATGACCATTGGCCCTGGGTATAAAGAAGACAAAACTACAGCAGAGGACACTGGTATTCTGGCTTTGCTGAATATTTTTCAAGTGATGGAATATCAGAATAGTTTTACCTAAAATACATAAGATTTTTTTCTCTTGATATACTTCAGAAATACTTCTCACTAAACATTGCACAGGACTGCCACAATCATAAAAATATCATTTATGAAGCGATGTAACACTTTCTTTTGTCTTGCTTTTTTATCTTATCTAGGACAATTGCAAAATTAGAATCATAAAAACCAAAGATTTTCCCGATACTTCTACAAAATTCAAGTCTATATAAATTTATTCCATGTAGTGCTATGTAGGGTCTGAAAAATGACTGCTTGTTATAAAATTATATGCTATGAAAATAGAAAGTAGGGTCAGTTTACAGGTATGGCTTGAATATTAAGTTATAAATAATTAATCTGTTGGTGTTAGATATTAATCTCACTGATGGTAGGCTAGGACCAGAAGTGGGGTCACTCACTGTGCGTATTAAACTATTATATTGGCAGATGCTTAAGTAACCTTATAATTCAAATAGAAATAAAGTAGTTTAAGTTTATATTAGTGCAAACATAGAGTACTTTCCAAAATATATGTCAGTTTTACTTATGAAAACATAAAGAGGAAAAAAATACTAATATAATTAGTATAAAAATAGAAATATAGAAATTAGAAAAAAATACTAATATAATTCAAAATTGAGAACTAAGTCCATTTGTACTTCTGAATGTAATATGGGATTGTAGCAGACACACTCTATCATCATCAACAAAAAGCCACTTCCTGCACAACCCATCCTCTTCGAATGCAAGTGGAGCTTGTGACTTGCTTTTAATCAACAGAAGCTGGCAAAAGTGATGGATGCCAATATTTTGATCATGAAAGACATCACCTGAGCAGACTGCAGTGGGTCCCCTGTTGGGCTTCAGGAAGCGAAACGACTCATGTGTCAGAGGTGGAGAGGGGCTCACGTGGCAAGAAAATGGGTGAAGACTCCATGTACTAAGATTGGCCTCCTGCTGACAGCCAGCAAGAATATGGGGAACTAAGTTCTCTCACCACAAAGAACTGGATTCTAGAACAGCAAGGTAAGCATGGAGGAAGACCATTAACGCGGGCAGACAGCCTGGCCATGGCGCAGACTGCAGTCTTACAAGATCATGGGCATGGTCATATAGCTCCAAGGCAGGAATACCTACAGCAGAAGGGTGTCATGGAGCAAAACCGGTCACTCACAGGGGCCAGAAATTAGAACAGGGGGAAGGAGAAGGAAGGGTCAAGGGACCATGAACAGTATGTAAGGTGAGACCCACAAGACCCACAACTGCAATCAGAAGTGTGCTGCACCAATCCACAGGGCACTTCTTAACCTTGTGAAGTTGACCTATCACAAATTAACAGTCACATTCCAAACTTTTCCGACCTGACAACCAGACCCATCACCTAAAACTGTACTTTATCTCAAATAAAGGCAAGAGCAAGTGTGTAGCTCTGTGTAACATGGCACAACTACGGTGTACACATTAGAAATTCACTGCCTCCCTCCCCCTGTCTCAGTAGTACCAGCATTTTTCAAAAATTAAAATCAAAGTCTATTCTGAGACACAAAGCAAACTCTTAGGTGTAAACCATTGTAAAAACACAACAACAAAACAAAAAATTCTTTACATATTCCTAAAGTACAATGGCACAGGTTAAACACTCCCATTCCAAAGAGGAGAAATAAGGGACAAAAGCAAGGCTAAAGTCCCAAAGGGAAATATTAAGTCCTGTGGCTGCATGTCCAGCACCCAGAACACATGGGGGTAAGACGTCAGAGAATGTGGGTGGCTCACCCTATAACCCTTTGGTAGCAGCCAACATGGCCTCTCTCTGTACTCAGGGCCCATGGCTTTCCTCGGCAGACTTTCCATATTTCTAGCATCTTCAGCTCTCTGGAGTCTTCACTGAACTTTTGCTTCATTTCCACAGATTCACATACTACTCTCTCACAGCCTCTTGCCTGCAGTTCCAAG